AGGGTCTGAGGCCCTATGGAGGTACCCCTAACGAAGAGCTTTCCAAGGTTGAGAACCCAAGCACGAGGAACATAAAGGCACACAATTCGCCATCGTCTCCTTGTGAACTGTTGTGCTTCGCGGGTGTCTTAGTTTGCAAGATGGCCCAAAAGTCTTCCTCGCTGGTTCTCGCCGAGAAGAATACACATGTCCGAGCGATGCCAAGCAACAGGGTACCTGCCCAGTCCAGGGCCGTGCTTCACCCTCCTGCAAGCTGCGTAGCAGAATAGCAAACTCCGTCAGCGTAGATCTACTGTCGGAGGAGGCGGCAAGTAGGCAAGTAGGCAAATAGGAGGTCTGAATCAGGATGAGGGATACGGAGGTGAGACAGGAGGAGGAGGAGGTATCAGTGCTGTCTCAAACGAAAACCCAAAGCACGGACGTTGGGAACAGCTGTTTGCCCCTTCGCACACAAACGCAACAACACAAACCCAACAAGCAACCAAACGAGATGAACGCACCAGGAACAGGTACAGGCAAAGGGACGCAATATTACATCGTACCAGGAACACGCAGCCAGACGAAAGGCCCAACCCTATGAATTCACTCCTCATATGCTTCACGCCGTGGGAGGGGCCGATCGAGACGAACTCCGCCTAGAGCCGCGATTTGCGGGAAAGGTGTGCCGACATCGGAGGGCCCACGCGTTGAGACATCTCCCTGTTGGACTCCATGTGAAGCCCTCTATGGGACACGGTCCGCGTGAACGGTTCGCACAAAAAAAGGCGTCGCGACGCTGCGCTGGCGCCCTCACCAAAGCAGCAAGTTGAGCTTTATGTGGGGTGGGATCCGTACGGATGGTTTCCCAGAATGAGCATGGGGGGCGCTACGAGGGCGCCCTCACGGGGGCCGTAAGTAGCTACCCGCGTGAAGGCCCTTAGCGGCCCCTCGAAGGCTTCCTGGAGGCCCTGGGGTACCCCATAGGGCCTCCAAAAGGCCTCCTCCTCCTCCTTTTTTTCCTGCTGTTCCCTCTTCCTCCTCCTCCTCCTCCTCCTCCTCCTCCTCCTCCTCCTCCCTCCTCTTCCTCCTCCTCCTCCCCCTCCTCCTCCTCCTCCTCCTCCTCCTCCTCCACCTCCTCCTCGTCCTCCTCCTCCTCCCTCCTCTCCTCCTCCTCCTCCTCCTCCTCCTCCTCATTTCCCCTCCTCCTCCTCTCCTCCTCCTCCTCCTCTTCCTCGTCCTCGTCTTTCTCGTCGTCCTCCTCCTCCTCCTCCTCCTCCTCCTCCTCCTCCCCCCCCTCCTATACCTCCTCGGTGCAATAACTGAAGTCGGACACTTCGGTGGGCCGCCACCCTGGTCGGCCGCGACTACTTTAGTCGGGGCCTCCGCCCCTGGGCAGAGCACTTTCCTTCAACGCCCGGGTGGCACGCTGGCCAGAATGAAGGAGCGGCTTGGGCTGGCGCGACGACGCCGCTCCACAAAAAACGCACGCAATGACAGCAACATTCGGGTGGTCAAGCTCGGCTGGGGGGTGCGACAGCGCACCAGCCTGTGACCCACTGTTTCTCATTTTCGCAGCACTCTGTTGGCCGCCACGGCCCTCGAAACCACCGGCCCAAGACGCTCTGAGGCCGATATTTTGGACACCCGACACTGCGCGCACCACTTGGTCCTGGGGGCCCGAGCAGCTCATGACTCAGCTTTGGGAGCGCCACGACCGAACCCACATAGGTCTGGCGCAAACCCCTGGCCCGGTGTCGGAAAGTGACAATGTCGAGCGAATTCGTCGCCGCTTCGACTCGAGCAATCCAGTGCGCGCAGTCTTCGGCCAAAGCCTTATGACTTACTAAAACTCCAGCGGGCAGGCGACAACCCATGCTGGGGCGTGGCAGGATTCGCCCGGGCGCACGCGCAGTAGTTGACAAGCCTACCCCTCCGAAAGATTAGCCCACTACCAACATCAGACTCGGAACAATGTGCCTTGTCTTCCCGCGCACGGGGCCCTTGCGGGCCGAGGCAACCGAAGTCCTTGAGGGCCCCCCAGGAATCACGCCGCGGACCCGCCCAAACATAAAACATAAACAGCGGTCGCAAGAAGAACGCACGCGCGAACTTCAAGTTGATCACCGCCGCCGTGGGCGGAGCGCGCGCACGCAAAAAATTGACCAGGACATTGCGTTCTGCCCCATCACACGGTTCAACCAGGGCAGCACTCCGCGGATGACATCACGCTCACCCAGCGGGCACCCAGGATGCCAGGGGAGGATCGCCCAGCCCCCCGAGCTCACTCGCCCACGGCCCCCCTGATGGAGCGTCTCGTCTCGAGAGCCGCGCGGTACAATCATCGCTCAGAATGTGGACGTCAGCAGGGGCGGTGGGCGCTGGCCACGGCGCCCTCTCCTGCGGGCGCAGCGCCTGTGGGCGCCGCAACCCTTCAAGCAGCGCGTTATAGCGATCGGGCATACGGCCCATTCTTGGTACTCGTAACTCACGCAGACCAGGTGCCCGACCCAAGACGCGAGGGCCGTCCCGAATTAGGCGCGCAACCAGCCTCGCACCGTCTGGGCATGGGCCGCTGTCCATCGATCATCATACTACGCAGACAAGCTTGCTGCTCAACAGCGGGCCATTTATCTCCTGGCGCTTGACCGACTGAGACCATGAACCACTCAGACAGCGCGCGAAAGGAAACAGCGCCGCCCCCTCCGACAGATGAACGAGGCCCTCGCTGCGGGCCACTGTCTGCCACAGGAAGGCATCGATGCCCGCGCGCGAATGCCTGCGGAGGTACCGCGCTGCGCAAACGCGAGCGTAAACGCGATCCAAGTCGGCTCGTCCAGCTCCGAGTACTTCCAGAAAACTTTTTTTCCAGCGAGAGATCGACGGCCCCGGCGGGCCCGCGCGCCTGGGGCAAATGCTCGACCCTCTGGGCCTGCTGGAGGCCGCACTCGATGACGTCGATGTGCGCCCGCGACTCTTGCAGCGCCCTGCCGACCGCTGGCAGGGGGGGGGGGGGGGGGGGCGGCGCGGGAGATCGGGCCAGCCTCTTCGCCCTGCATCAGCCCCGCGGCGCCCGACTCGTCGGCTGCGAGGGCCCCCGCCGCCGCGGGCGCCAGGCTGCGCGCCGACGCGAGCTCCGACCAGGGCGCGCCAGCGACTGGCAACCCATGCGATACCTGCCGCCATACCTGCTCGCGCAACGCGTTGCGCCGCCGCTCTCTCGCGAAATCGGCAATGGAACCTTCTCATCCGAACGCGCGACCCTCGAGCGCCCGCGCCGCGCGCGCCGAAGCACGCGCCGCCCGCGCGCGCGGTCGATGCCGGCCGGGATTTGGCGCATGCCGGGCCGGTAGCGCCCCGAGCTATGTGTGTCGTTCGGCGACGCAGATCAGAGCTATTTGGGTTGTTCGGGGACGCCGGTCCAGACGAAAATTGATTCGACGTCGCTCGCGTTTCCCCATCGTGTTGTCTCAACTGGAACCGAACCGAATTGTCACTACCTCTTTCGCCGCCCCGGCGACGTCCTCGGCGACGACCCTGGCCGACGGGGCTCTGCGCTTCGCGGAATCATCAAAACGCGCAACAATAGTCACCGACCGAACCGCAAAGGTACCAGACTTGACCGAACGGCTGGACGAGGGCCAGATTCAGAAAAGGCGACGCCCCAGCGGTCGCCGGGCAGGATGGCGCCGTCGACCTGCGGCGCGTCGCTCGCCGAGGTGGCGAGCGAGAAACCCACGGGGCCCTGTAGAGGAGGACCTGAAGACGCACCTGCCACTGCGGAAACCCCGCGCGCGTTGCAGCGCCCAACATCCAGCGCCGCCGAACGTGTTCAAAACTCACCTGACCCACGAGGGCCTGCGCCGACGCCCAGGGTCACTGCAAGGACCCTCCGCCATTCTGCGTTGCCCGCTCAGACCGCGCAACCTGCTGCCACGAAGCTCGCCCGCACGACTTCCCTGGGAAGCCCAGGGGTGGCGCCGATGATTTCGGCCTCCCCGGCCCATGGCAGCGGGCGTTCAGAGGCGCGCCTAGGCCCTCGGCAGCGCGCGCGCCGGAGCGATCGGGCGGGCGCCGCCTGGCCGCTTCGCTAGGAAACAATATCGGTGACTGGGCGTGGCCGCCCAGCCTGCGCCGCGCCGACAACGGCGGGGCGCGCCGGGCACTCGATCGCCGCGTCGCGTAACTCGCGCAGCAGCCAAGGGCTGCAATCGGCCGAGGGGGGCCGCGGCGGCGGGCGCACATGGACAACGAATGAAGTTCGGGCTCGGTTTCGGGCGGAGGGGGGGCAGGGAATCCGAGCGTGGAAACCCAGGGGCGCAATCCTTCGAAACAGATTGAGAAGTTCAGATGCATCTGTTCATTGAAACAAAAAAGCGCGCACGCGTTTGAACGTGATCCGAAACGTTGGAAGAGCCCGAATCCTCTTTCAAAAGTTCAAACCCTGGGGGGGGGGGGCGCCGGAGAAAATCCGAAAGCGCCTCGAGATAATTCCGGGCGCTCACGCAACGCCCGCGCTCGCCCCGGACATGTGGGGCAGATTCGCCGCCGATCTTCATCGCGCGGATCCTCGTCGTGCATTTCCCAAGCGCCAAGATTATGCCCAGCGTTTGTAAGTCGTCGTCCTCGAACGTAATATTGATTTGCTCTGTTCCACCACGGGGCCCACGAGCGCCCGTTCGGCCAATTTGGGGCCGAGGGCGGACGACGCAGAAAGTCGCCCTTGCCATCGTCTTGAATGAACGGGGGGCCCCGCGCATCTCTCCGATGGCCGGGCAGAAGGGGCCGTGCCCAAAAATCCCCAGACCAGGCCCGCGCGGGGCGCCCCCCCCCTAGCTCCCACCGTTTACTCTACCCAGCGCGCGGGTCACTTCTCTCCTCTCGCTGGCAGAGGCTGAGGGGCCTGCGCGGGGCCTCTGGATCGACGGGGCCCCCGCGCCGGCCCCGAGGCCCCCGACGCGGAGCGCGCGGCGCTCCAGTCCCCCCGCGGATTGTTCGGAGACCCATGCCCAGAGGGCGCCTACGAGAGACCGCCAGAGGCTGGCCGAGGCGCCAGGATCACCGCGGACAGCTGCAGGGGCATCGCAAAAAAGACGCCCAGCAAACTTCAGCGCATGCGCCTTCGCGGCGGGCTGGTCCGCGCGGCTTGCGAGCGCCAGAGCTGCGCCGGGGCGCGCGCCCCTGCTGCCCTGGGCGACGCCCTCGGAAACCGGAGCGGCAGCGGAAGTGATGCCCGGGCCACTTGGGCCGGGAAGCCCGCGATCCATCGACGTGCCCCTCGCGACCGCGGCTCTCGATCTGATGGGCGTCGCGCCGCCCGCGCTCCGCAGCCGCATCCGACGTGCGCGAACGCCCGTTCAACGAATCGGCGACGCCGCCGGGCGCGTCGCGCGCCCTCTGGCCGCGGCGAGACGGCCGCCTGCGGGCCGCGGGCAGGTCGGGCTCGATCAGCGCCCCCACGGGCGCCAAGCCCTCCGACGCCAGGAAGAAGTCGACGACGCGGCATCCGGGCGCACGCGCGCGCGCGGTGGGAGCCCAAGAACGCCTGCCTCCCCGATCTCTGCTGGCGCAGCGTTGGAGTCCGCGCCCGCGAAGAACGACCTACCACTGCGAAGTGGACGTTCCGCCACATCTAGCAAAATACTCATGTTGTCGGGCGGCCTGCCTTGCCCAGACAACAAATCCATATTCGACGCAAAGATGCCGCGCTTCGCGAGGCCCAAGTGGCGCGCGATGGGCAGGCGCAGCGCAATGACTGCGACCACCTTCCACGCAACCCACCCCGCGCCTCAGGGCCACCGAGTGAGCGAGCCCTCGGATCCAGGACATCCAGGGTCCAACCCGACGCCCGGCACTTTACGCGCATGCCATCCAACGCGCAACATGGCAGCCACCACATCCTTGCATCTCAGCTCATCCAGGTGGGTCTCCTGCGCAAGAATGTGGTCGACAGCTCGATCTTTGATCAATCTCCAGCAACGGCTCGAAGCTCGCGTAGGAGTTGGAGTTGGCCGCGATCAACTTCCATCGTCTGTCACGCTGCACCAGCCTCGTGCTGCGCCGCCGCTTGTCCTCGCCCGCTGCCGCCGCCGAACTCGAAGTGGGGGGCGCCGCCGAAGCGCCGCGCGTCGCTGATCCACGCGTGGCCACTGCTGCCGGGGAGAAACATGATGGTCCTGCCGAAGACGCCACTGACGCGCGCCTGGCCGCCGCCTCCGTCGCGGCCACTGTTGCTGTCGCTGTGAATATATCCGGGCTTCCCTCCATCGGTTCTGTGCAGCGGGGTCCCGCGTGGCAGGCAGGGCCTCTCGCGGGTTTCGTTAGTTTGGCGGTTTCGGCCTACTCAGGGCCAACGCAGGGAGGGCTACAACCTCGACGACGCCATCGCAGCCCCTAAGCACTCCACCTCCGCAGCGCAGGAAGTACCCCAACCCACTCGGCTGCCAGCGTCGCCGCAAGCCCACAGGGGCAGACGAACTTCCGAGCGCGCGCCGAGCGACGCACCGCCGGCGCGCGGACCACCAGCTCTGCCGCCACCCGCTGCCGTTAGAGGTAGCCATCCCAACGTGCAAGACCGACGTCCACGAGCACGCCGCGCTGGAAGTACCCCGCCCACCACGGCTGTCAGCGCAGCCACAATCGGGCGCGGCCAAACCGACCCCTACCAAACCATGCACTTGTTTCAAAGAAGGCGGAAGTGCGCAAACACAGGGGGCGAATGAGATCCTTCCTGAGAGCGTCGCTCTCGCAAGACCGGGTCGCGGCCCCAGGGGCATGCGGAGAGACAACTAAGTCGAGACGTTTTGGAAACCACTGCACCAGTCAAGCGCTTCTGGGACGAACGTAAACGAAAGCACCAGCGCGGGCAGAAGTCGCGACGACGGGCCGGCAGAAAGAACGACGCAAGATAAGGAGCACGGCCCAAGGACAGTCATCGGGGAACGTCAACGGCGCATGAAATCCACGCGCTGCCTTCGAATGGCGTGACCAACGGTGGCCGGCCAGAGCGACGCGTCTGCGCTGGCACGGGCGTTTATCATTCAAAATATCATGCCTCGGCCCTGCGCTGCGTAGCGCAACTCTTTCTTAATTCGAATCAGAGCTCCAAGGTGCGCACGTGATGTCGGTGAGCCGAAACGCGCGCTGAACCTGGGCGGCTAGGAAAAAAACGCAACCACCCCCAAAACGAACATATCCCAACGACCCAACGAAGCAGTCGCATGCTTTGCGCGCGGTGAAGTACGACCGCCAGGGTTTGAACAATCTTACAACATACTTGGCAAGCCTTGAACAATTTCTCAAAAGTGATCGGCGCACTATCGACACCAGAATTACAAATAAATCGTTTCGCTACTTCGGGAATTTGACAAAGGAACACCACGCCTTTTGTATATGGACGAGCAAGTGAGACGCCACCCACCCTGACGTACGCATACGCCTGCAGGGATGGCGAATCGAGCCAATGATGGCCCAAAGAGACGGCCCTCCTGTGGAGGGGTTTCGACAACGCGTGCCCGCTACATATCAGGAGCCTCGACAGTGCACAAACAGACATATCATGGGATCCACACTTGGCTCTATCACAGAGCGCCCATGTCCGCGTTGGCAAGTATGGCTCCGGTGCCGAGCCAGGCGCATGAGTACGCGCGTGCTGCGCGACCAGGCTCACGCGCCACATGAAAGACTGCGGACGTTTCAAGGCATTGGCCACGCATCCCCACAGACGCAACACAGTACGTTGCACATATTGAGGCAATGAGTTGCAAATACTGGGAACCAATAGTATGCCTGGGTGCAACATGCCAGCACATGCCGCACAAACCACACGTGTAACCCCATCCCTCCATTTCCGCCTGATATCCCGTCCACATATTTTATATATCCTTCCCTCCCCTGCCGCCCCCGTTCGCCCCCCCCCTCCCCACCCTCTCTCAACTTCCCCCTCCTCCGCCCCCCTCCTCCTCGACCCCTGGCCCAGCTCGCCCTCGCGGCGGAGTGCATTGTGCAGCGCGTCGCCAGGCGAGGGAACTAAGGGAGGGAGGGGGAGGGAGGGGGGAGGGGGGAGGGGAGAGAAGGGGGGGAAGGGAGACAGGGCGAAAGACGCACACAGGGAGGGGGGCGCGGGAGGGGAGCCAGAGGAGGTAGGAGAGATACGGGGGGAGCGGGGGAGGGAAGGAATGTCGGAGGCAGGGAAGGAGAGGAAGAAACGAGGGCAAGGGCGACGCGGGCGAGGGGAGCTAATGCGAGGGGGGAGGGATGGGAGGGAAGGGGCACTAGGGAGGGAGGGGGCGAGGAAAAGCGAGGAAAGCGGGGGGAGGAAAAGAGGGCAAGGAGGAGAGACAGAGAAGGTGGGGATGTTGTGAGGACAGCGGAGAAGTGGACATAATGGAAAGAGGGAGATGGCGAGAGGCCAAAGTGAAGAGCAAGGGAAGAGTGGCGAGGGGACGGCGAGGGAGGGAGAGACACGAAGGAGCAAGGAAGGAGGAGAGGATGGCGGCGGAGTAACGGGGAGAAGATCGGGAAAGACCAGCCGGCCTGGACTCCCGCGGCATCTGCGACAAAACCTTGCCCTCCGCCCCCCAGCGAGGCCCAAACTGCACTCGCGCGGCTTGCGGGGGCCGCGCGACTGTCTTTTGGGGCTCGCCCGGGGCGGATCCCCGAATGAAAATTTCGAAAATGTGGACCCGGAGCTCGTCGCGGCACGGCATCATTCGGGCGCGCCCCAAACCGGAGGCTTCCGTGACGACCCCCCCCGGGACCCCCGCCCGTCTGTCTTGTTTCCCGGCTTGTGCCTAAACCGGAGGCTTCCGTGACGAGCTCGGGGGGGCCCCGGGCGCAACCTAAACCGGAGGCTTCCGTGGCGAGGGGGCGCCCAAACCGGAGGCTACCGTGACGACCCCCCCCCCGGAGGTTTCCTGGTCGGGGGCCCTCGGGGGGGCCCTCTCGGGGCCCTCCAGGCGTTCCAATGCAATCTCGGAGGGCCTCAAGAGGGCTCCAAGAGAGCCTCAGGAGGGCCTCGCAAGTTCAAATATATTGACAAACTTTGAAGCTCTCTTGGAACCGTCTTGAGCCCGCTTGAAGCCCTCCGGATCGCACTGGAAGGCCCTGGAGGGCCCGGGCAATGCTCCAAGAGGGCCCCTAGAGGGCCTCAAGACGGCCCTCAGCGAGCCCCACGAGGGCCCCAAGGGGGCCCAAGAGATACCCAAGAGGGCCTCTTGTGCACGACCACTTGCGTATATGAACACTGCTGTCCATGACCACTCTCGCATTGAACTGCTATTGTATATCACCCCTCCCTCCTGGCTCATCCCTTCACCCTCATCGCTCCTCCTGATGATCAGGGCAAGTCGCCTGGTGATTTTTTGGACGGGCTGGTGGGGATACGCGGGGCGCCAGCAATTTCTGGAAGCCTGCCCGAGGGCTCAAGGGAGCCCCAAGTGGGCCCCGTGAGGCCCACAAGAGGACCTCGGGAGAGCCCCGCCTGGACCCCAAGAAAATCCAAAGTTAGGACGCGCGCTGCATCCTGATTCAGGAATGTCTCGGGGTCCACTTGATGCCCCGTGGGGGGCATTCTCCGGGACTTCCCGAAACCCGCCCGAAGCCGGAGGGGGCCCGTGTCGCCGAGAACTCGCTAATACGGCTGTAATAAAATCTAGTTACCCCCCAAAAGGGCCCAAATCCAATATTCAAAATGCTTTTTTGGTTCTGGGCCATCTGGGGATCCATCCGGGGCCCTCCTGGAGCCCCCCTGGGGGTCTCCCCAAGGCCCACCCACGGCCCCCTCGAACCCATTGAGGGCCCCAAAGAACGCCCCAGAGGGCACCCATCAGAAGGGGTCCAAATACATGTATGTTTGGAGGGCCCGCATCAGGATGCATGGTGCAACATGAGTTTGGGCCGTTGCGCGGGCCACGCCGGTGCCCTCTTGGAGCCGTCTTGGGCCGCGCCGGGGCTGTCCTGAAGCCCCGAGGATGCCCCGAGAGAACCCCGAGAGAGTCCCAAGGAGGCTCCTGCAAGCGACATTTGCATGCACACTTTTACGTCGTATTGTTTCCGCGTGCTCCCTTGAAGCAAGAGGGTAAGGTTTTCCTCGATGTGGCATGCATTGCCGTTTGCCCCACGGCGCGGCGTCGTGCTCAACAACAACGTCCCCCGCCATGCCATTGCGGTTGCATGATGCACCGTGCACCTTGACCTGGGGCCCACTGGGGGTCGGCTTGGAGCCCTCTCGGAGCTCTTTTGGGGGCCTCAGAAGACCTTTTTTCGGAGCCTCGTTGCGGCTTCGGGGGGGGGGGGGGCCTCGCCCAGCTCGCTCGAGGGAAACCGCGAGCTCCGGAGTCCGACCGCCAGCATCAATCGTCTGGCAAACCCCGCATATCCTAGCATTCTCGGTAACCTAGGAAAGCGGGGCCCCGGGCGTCAGCCGAAATCGACGGCGAGTTGTTGTCAAATCCCTGAAATTTCCGCGAGGG